TTTTTTTCGCCAGGTCTTCAGCATCCATCTCTGAGCATTTCTCTCTACTTCGGATCGAGCGATTTTCCAATATCGAATTTTTTCAAGATGAAACGTATGTACGTGATATACGAGTCTCTGAGAAGGCAAACTGATCAATTCTGTCTTACGTAAAGTCCTCAATCCTGTTGTTCTTCTAGAGTCTACGTGACTCGAAATGGATATTGTGGTTCAACAGGCGTTATTAAAATACACACAGTTTTCAAATATTTGGTTTCCATATTTCACATATATTCCACCATATTATTTCCTTAAATAGAAAAGGAGAAACGCTTGAAAAGATTCAATTAGAAGAACAGCAGGATTAATGTTGTTACTCGTTTGAACACCATTTACATTGAACGTTTCAATCGTCAGAACTTCATTTATTACAGCAGGCAGTGTAAATAATTTAAGATAAACTTTCACAAATGAACTTTCAAAAATATAATACTCATCGTCGGTTTTGCAAGATTGATCAGCGACTCGTAAGACTCGTAAAGTGGAAGATCGAAAATAGATTTGACATGCATAGTGATAGTGAACGAGGGATCTATGGATGCTGAAGACCTGTGATCAATCGGTCGATTTCTCGAGAGGTGGAGTACGAAATGCTGTCGTACCTTGGATCCAGCGGCGTACATTCCGCAGGATGGAGCCTGTCCTTACCCGTATCTGTGCAAGGAGTGTTCGCGGCGCTTGCTTCCTCTGCGCTCCCGCTCGCAAACTGGCTCTGGGCTCGGCGGGTTCGAGTACGTCAGATTACTGGAGCCTCGTGGGGGCGGCGCGCTCATCGGGGGCGGTGGTGGTGGGAAAAAGCTCTGCAAGCATGCCTAATGCAACAAAAGATTAAAGAATCGAACGTGTCTCTTGGAATTTCTATTACATGTCCCATATTTTAAATGAACGAATATGCACGGAAACATTAATTCGTTTTAAAAGCTCGATAATGTCCAGTTGACGAGACAAATTATTATACTAATATTAACCGCGTGAAAATGACTCAAAATGCTCGTACTCCCGTAATCAGAAAGTATAACTGTAAACAGAGAATACGTATGGAAGAAGGGCGATATTTTCACAGTAAACATGCTGAAAAGTGGAGCAGCAGCTTTCAAGAGCTTTTTGTTTCGAGTAGATATCCCAACTGGTTGCTGAGATACGGGGACTTGAAAGTTTACCGTGCCAGATGCATCGAGGATATGAATTTCGAGATTCTTGGAATAGACCTGACCTACTTCTTTTCCTGCAGACGCGCACGTCGCGAGTACTACTATCGGGAAAAAGTCAGCTGCGCGCGTGTGTCACTGACCAGCGTGCAGGTGTTCCGAGCTTGGGACAGGTCAGGGAAAGAACACACGAGCGAGAAGGTTGATCGCGGGAGCGAGATGCGAATAGGTGAGTACAGAAAATTACGGTTCGTTTCAAAGCGGCGATATCTCGACGAACGAAAACGACGATCCCACATGGGTATGATTCGACGCTTCAAAGGTGTTGGCCTCGATATTCTATTCATGTTACATGATAGTCTATTGTCTCGCGAAAGAAATTATACAGTTGACGTTGCAGCATTGATTTAAGTTGGATCGTTAGATTATTCTGATAGTAGTTATTGTTTATAGTAAATGAATGATGCAAGTAATGATATTCTTGGAGGTTTAACGCATTTAGGTGGATTTTTGTCGAGCAAATCCTTACCTTCGCGCTACCCCTCGATGAAGACTTGGAGAACACGCTGTCCTGATCGCTGCTCACGCTAGGCACGGGCATCGGTACTGCATAGTCGTAGGTGGCATCTGTGAACAAAGAGATTGAACTTTGAAATATTCAAAGGTTCGAGCACTCGGCCGTTTGGAACTTAAAAAAAGATTATATCTTGAAATCTAAACTCATCGAAGAACACTTGAAAATTAGAATAATCGAGTGCTAGGGAGTTCAGAAATTTAGAAACCTAGAAACTTGGAAATTCAGCTGAACACTTGGATGTTCAAACGTTCGGGAATTGAAAGAATTCGAGAACTTGGAAGTTAGAAATTTGGAAATTTAAAAGTTGGTATTTCCAATAATCGATAAGGCTAAGGATCTACGAACTTCAATCAAAATTTTTATGTTAACTCTTTGAAAGAATTCCCCTTCCTAATTCTCACAACTGTATGTACCCATGAAAATCTCAACATACAGAATTACAAACTTACGAAGTGGTTACGGACACTTACCAGACTGTTCGACGTTGTCGTGGAGGTCCTTGTTGTCTATAACAACGGTGCTGTATCCGTAGTAAGCAGCGTGAGGCGGTTCTCGGTGCTTGTTCTCGTAGAAGGGTTCCTGATACTCGTCCAACCTGACGTCGCCGAGCAGGCGATCGTTCAAGTCGCGGGGCAGCGTCGTCAGCTTGGTTCCGGCGTACCGGTCGTCGAGTTCCTCCACTCTGTACGTCATCAACGATGGATCCTTTTCCGTGGTCCCGTACGCGGATTCCGGCGACAGGTGTTGATGATTGCTCGACGGGATCGCGCTCTTCGTTCCGAGAGGGCTCGCAAAGTTCTTGCGTTGCCTGTGTCGCGTGACGATCAAGAAAATCGCGACGGCGAGCAGCAGGATCACCGCGGTCAGCACACCGATGATCACGGCCATGTACGTCGGATCGTCTTGCTTCACCACTGGAACTTCAGCTTGCAGAGGATTGTCACGTGCTGAGATTCGATCCCTTAGTCTCGGGGCTTCCGTCGTGGTCGGGGATTCAGGAGTGAAATTCCCATGAGCGATATCTGGAACAAACAACGGCAGTGCTTCTTTCGTGATCTCGAGAGATTAATACGAGACCTATTAACTGTCAATTGTTACTTGCAAATTACATTTACGAAACGATCGACTGACAAGTTTTTTTTATCACTGGGAGCGGTAATTACCAGAATCGAAAGTGATCTCGCTGATCATGATCCACCGCGAGGCGAAGCTAAACCTCAATTTAACGAACTTGCCAATCCGATGGTGCAGCTTGATTGAGATGTTCCTCGAATGTTCGAAGATCCTATCCTCCATGTACGAGTACACGATCGGATCTCCCGTATAATATCTACCACCGACGCTGAACATTATACTGGCCTCCGAGAACACCTGTAACATGGCATAAGAACATTTCTCAAGTTTTCAGTTTTTTAATTAAACGATACAATTTAAAAGAAATATCCCTATAACATGCGAGAAATGATACAATTATTATGCTTTACGACCTTTATCATTTTCTATTTGTCTCGTAATCGTTCGATTGTTCCTTGTTTCCAACAAAGTACAATGGAAAGTAAAAAATCCGTGTTTGATGTTAATCTTAAATAAACAGCAAAACTGCAGTTACGTATTTCCCGTAAGAATCGCGATAATAAACGAATCTTCCGTCTCTAGTAAAAGCTACAGTTCTACAGGAAGAGCTTACTTAATGTTTCAGTGGAAGCATCGTTCATCGGGGCTCGGTACAACACGTATATACTCGTAAACCGCGTTGCCCGGAAAATATACAACAATAAAACCAGACAGCGGCAAAGGTTGCGCCGGATAGTAAAACGAAGGCTCTCATCGTGCGCGTTAAACATGACGTAGTGGCTAATATTCAACATTAATTGTATGTATAAATCAGCGTCTTGAGCCGAGCAAGCCCCGGGAGGAACGCTGGCCTGCACGCTGTTCCAGCAACCTGGATGCTAATATATCTCCGCGATTCCTCTCGCGCGAGCACACATTCGGCGTATTTATTGCGGATATAACGAGCAACTTTATAGAGGCATTCGGTTGACATCGACGACTTCGATAATTGCGAACGTACCCGTGGCTACGCGTACGCTTCGTACGCCGCTCGGAACGGAGACGCGTGGAATGCAAATTCCACTCTGGGAAAGCGTAAGATAGTTGCACGAGGAGAGGAAACTGCAAGTAGGAAACCCGTGGCGGTAGGAACAGGTAGCACGGACGAAGAGAAAGAGAGTCGTGAGAAGGTAGGATAGGAAGAGACAGAGAAAGAGAAAGAGGGAGAGAGAGAGAGAGAGCGGAGGAGGAAGAAGAACAGGGCAAAGACCAGGAGAACGGCGTGAGAGGCTTGGAAATGGAGATTACAAAGCTGAGATTATCTAACTCTCTTAGCTGCACGAACGCAACGACGATGCGTACGGATTTTCAAGGGAGCAGCATACCGTTGAAGCTCTGTCTTGCCAGAGCAGCTCGTCGACGATGACGAGGGCCTCGACGACAAGGGTAGGAGTATGAGGAAGCCGAAGAAGACGAACGTGGCGGCCACGAAACCGTGCACAACCACCACCAGCCAGTGTATATGGGAGTGCAGTATAGTATTC